TGATATTGAAATTTATAGGAATGATAGATAATGAGGATGATATATGGGTGATACAAAATGCGCTCAAAGGCGAATTTACGCTGAAAAGGCAACCCATTCAAATTAAATAAGGATGGTGAGTGGTACAAGAAAGAAGGAAAAACCATGAGAAACGGCCCAGAACCCGAGAAATGGGACCCCTTCCTTGCCCGTTGATTTCCGCATTGATGCGACTCTCATCGTGCCCTCTTCAACGCTAACGCTCTCTCTGCTATGTCGGTGGGCGTACCGCGCCAACTGCGCCAAGAGTGAGCCATGCTAGATCGCCGAGGTCAAATCTTTCGCTGCCAATTGCGCGTCGGTCCGCACCCTCAGGAGGTCCGCCTGTCTCCACTAGGCAATTTTCCCTTCTTTGACCTTCCTTATCGTGAAATCCTCCTTTACCACGAGTTGTGATTGGTCCATTCAACGGAGTGCACCTTTTGCCCCTGAAAAAACGGAATACATGAAAATTGGCTCTTGTAACCTCAACAGCTCATATTGTCTGGGTAATCACACTCTAACGGACACTTCTCTCAGAGATTTAGGCTTTCTTTACGACAACGAGCTTTTTTTCTCTTCTTTTCGAAGCGCTCTATGAGAAGTCATTCAACATTCGATTGCATGGGCGCAATTCGCTAGCGTGTCGCATTCATGCGATCCATTTCTTCGACCACCCATGTCTTCTTTCCATTGTGGGCGTTTTGTAGTTATTCTATGGATCATGCATTAACATGAGACTAAGCAGGATGTTCCGCTGAATGGTCAGGTATGTATGCTTTGGTCTAAAGGAAGGTTCCCGTTCCTTGAGATATTTTTTACCAATAAATTCCTCCTCTTCTTTTTATCGTTATGAAAATACAATAAAAAGTGTACTAAAACACATGCGCAACTGTACAGATGTTAAGGCAGTATGTGCTTTCATTGAAGCCAAACGGTGGAATGCTTTTGAGGTCCACTTCTGCCCGAGCTAGCAAAATTTACTTTTTTATTGTCATTGTCAGTGGAAACCCTGCTACTTTGCCTGCGGATAATCTAAGCACTCAGAACATTGGCATTCTTTTAGTAATTTTCTGTCCCTTGTGTCTCATGCTGATCTAAATGCAAGACAACAATGTGAGACTCCAAAATATTTGTTACGAAAGTCTCAAGAACAATTTATAAAGCAGTTGCGAAGTACGCCGAAATGTTTCACAAAAGTTCGTGCTTTTCTGACGAGATGTCGGGGCATGGAGCCTTTGTAAAGCATGAATTAAAGGACGAATTCACGCTGGAAAGCAACCCATTTCAAATTAACTTAGGATGGTGAGTGGTACACGAAAGAAGGAAAAACCATGAGAAACGGCCCAGAACCCGAGAAATGGGACCCCTTCCTTGCCCGTTGATTTGAGCATTGATGCGACTCTCATCGCATCGCTGTGCCCTCTTCAACACTACGCTCTCTCAGCTATCTAATCACTCGCCACGTATAGACTGCGGCGAGTGATCAGATTGGTGGGCGTTTGATGCCTCGAGCAAGATTTGAGCTTATAAGGTAGCGAGGTCAACTCTATTCTTGCTCGATTCTTACCCATTTGGGCAAAGTTACGAGGATAGTGCAGCAACTGGAATCAGGATAGAGGTATACCGTGATGTAGGAAGGAGAGGAAAAAAAACATGGGAACATAAATGTGAAATTTTGCCTATTGGCGCTTAGGTGAGGGTCTGAGCAGTTTGATGACCCCGCAGCGTATGCTATCTCGGGCTCGAAGGTTAGAGGTTCAGGGCAGAGGAGGGGGGGGGCAGTGTTGCTAAGCGCGAGGAGAACAAGAACGAAGTTCAAGCAGGGAATCATCCATCACCGTTAACTACGAGTCATAATCGCTATGTGGTGCAGTGTGAAGACTTACGGACACTACACCATATGTGGCAAGACATTATCTATTTAGAAGTTGCTCGGCACTTCGAGCTCTGTTTTTACCGCTTGTTTATTGTTAGTATTTTGTATTAATATAGTGTTTTTCAGAGATGTCCGATTCTCACTCTCATAAATTGATGTGAGGGTGCAGTCCCGGGCGCCGCGGTCAAGCTGAATATTTTATTGTATGCGAGACACAAGTGAGCGAAGTTGCACAGGTTATTGTTTAATTGGATTTGACATTGACTACTGCTTCCCTACGAAGTTGATGCCATGATTAGATTCAATCGAAGTTTCATAGCTTCTATCCAGGGCGGGTCGACCAGCACTAGAAATTAGTTCCATGAGAGCATTAGATCGTCCTTATAATTTTGAGTGCATTGCTCTTTTACATCAAGGTGGCGTTATTCACATTATCTATGATTCCGACTCGATTTTCTGTGTCCCGTTTATCGATGTCTAGCGCTTCTACCCCTTTCAGTGAATGCATCTCTAGATATAACCGACCGTATTGGTTCACTACATTCATCAAACACAACGGGGCCACTGTTTCGTCGAGAAGTGCACTTCATTTAGACTGATAAATGACCTAATAATTGCATTACTGTTCATTACAGTTCTACCTCATCATAAACATTAGCAGCATTATCACATTATTATTATTATCACTCATTACGAATAAATAGCAAGTGATCATTTACTGCGATTGTTGTGACACTACTGTGAATTAGTTGTTGTTGTAACTTCCCTGTTACATCAAAATAAATATGAATGTCGTCATTTTTGTTACATCGAAGTAGTCGCACACGTTAAAACAACAACGAACAACACGAATTACAAAACTGCCATCTCATTTACTTGTTTGGGACACGCCGCTCTCACAAATTGAGATTACAACTCGGATACATTTGGAAGCATACTAAGATGCTTTTGAGAGCTCAAATTAATGTTGTTATTTTCATCCAACTAGTGGTGATGCTGTTTACTTCAGATTACAGTGACCTCGCTTGAGAAGGAATTGGTGATTGCTTCAGGCATTGACCCTTTTCACCTCTAGGCCTTTGTAACCTCGCACCACGAACTTGAAAGGGGTGCGCTGAACGCTGACCTCACGTCATCTTCCTTAATGGCTAGCAACGGGCGACAAAATGAAAGGCTTAGAAGGTGTGAAAGGTCAATGCTCATTGTATATAAGAGACTGAAATAACCTGCCCTACCTCTTTTAGTTCTTCTTATGCGAGAACCGTTCTCCCTGCGCATACACCCACTCAATTTTTAACTTCAGATCTCTCGTCGTTCTGTTCTACCAGGCTAGGTATGGAAAGCCAGACTTCAAATTCGACCACCTCAGGTAGATATTTGTTCACACCATCTCCATGAATCCCGGTTTACAACGACAACTGTTGAAAACGAATGCATTTGTTTTAGCAATGGAAAGCGAGTGTCCTGAGTGTGGGTGTGATACAAAAACCAACCTCTACCGCCACCTCTTCTACGCTCACTCTTATTCCCAAGCAGATATAGAAGCACTGAGGAAGCAGAAGCGCACTCGGAGGCTGCAATCACTTAGTAAGGAGGCCTACGAGTGTGACGTGTGTGGGCTAGTTTATCAATCGCAGAAAGGGCTTGACAAACACAAGAGATATAAAGGACACAATAACGAGCAGCAGACAGTGGCTTTTCAGCGAGAACTTTCATGTTCACTTTGTGAAGAGCGAGTAAAGGTATGAGGGCTACCACTTACATTTCTCTTTTCAGTTATGTCTTACGCTATTTCTTCAGGACCACTGGCAGCTAATCGATCATTTCAACGAGGAGCACGCTACTTTGGAGAAGCAGTACATTGTAGAAACGGCCACATTCGACGACAGAGCTTCGTTTCAGGTAATTCCACTCATTGTTGTATTCTTTCTTTTCCATAACCGAACAGCCCAAAATTTAGGATTGGAAAACCCAGCTCGAAAACGATTCAGTGACACGGTTTGCTGTGGTCAGTCGCCGGAAATTTGCAGGTGGCTATGTTACATACATGCGGTGCAGTCGAGCTAGACCAACTCCAGCATATGGAGACGTTGCACGCCCGGGTTCTAGGAAAGTTGTCGACAGCTGCACCGCGTTCATGAAGGTATTTAGCTGGTTTACCTAGTCAGCATTTTTGCAAAGCTACACTTAGAATGTTTAGGTAACTGAGAGCGGAAATATTTTGAAAGTGAAATTTTGCCGTTCCCACTGTGGTCATGAAGTAGAACCCGCTGTGTTAACGATAGATCCCAGTTCAGAGCAATACATAGTATCGCTCTTAAAAGAAGGTTTCAGACCTCATCAAATCCTGAAGAAAATTCGAACAAAATGTCGCGATAACGATCAACATTTACGTCTGTACTATACTTCGTATAGCGACATAAGGTGGTTTGCACTGATGTGTTGGTGGGTATCAACGCTTCGATTTATTATTCTTTTACTTTAGGCTCATTGGTATTCGCAACAAAGTGGACCCATGCAGGCGAGATGCGGTTGACATAAAATCCGTAGAAATGCGTGTTCGAGAGGGAGCTCCCGATGATGGTATAAGATTGTACACCCCTGCAGTGAACGAAACTGGTGAAGGGTTTTGTCTTGGTAAGTGGAAAAACCCATACACTATAAAGTGATATAAATATACAGATATATCATCTTTTAGTA